CGGGGAAGCGAGGTTATTGCAGAGGTGGAAGAACTGGCCTCAGTCCTGGCGTCTTTCAACGCCATATGTGTAATGAGTTTGTTGAACATTGTTTCTCTTCTCAGTGCTAAGAGGGTTTTTTTTTTCGGGTAATCCCTTTTATCTCGCTCAAAAACCGCCATTTTCAAATGCCAGTTTGAACTGGAAAGGTCTTCAGTTAAGTCTGAAACGAGCGTCATAGCTGGAGTTCATCGATTCTTAAAACTGTCAGTTTTACTGTCGACCTCCATAAAAAGCCTTTAGTTGGGTTAGTTGTGTCGCCTACTTTGGGGGAAGCCCAGTTTCCTCATATTGCATCGACACTTTTCTGATATTCATGAATTTAACAACTATAGGTTTTTGTTTCATGATCACGTAGCAATTGCGTGTAAAGTTGTACATGCCGAATATAAAGCCACGCACAAACGAATCCAGATACCGTAAACTGCTGCTAATAAGCCCTTGCTTTATATATCTTTTTCAGGGGTTTTAGGAGGGCCTATAAATGGAAGGGCTTATATCCGAGGAGGCTTATAATCAGAATAGAAAAAACGCTTCCAAACAGGTTATGTCAGTTGAGGTCCTGAATTTTTTTCAGGCTTCTTTACGCAATTGCATAAATTGCATTCACTGCGACGAACAATTCTTCATTTTCAGGTTATGGCAGTGCTGATCAAAATACGTTTGCATTTACTAGTCCTTAATTAAGCTTCAAACGTCATAAAAAAATCGAATTAATTTCAAAACATTTGGATGGGTGGCTTATAATTGGATGCTTTTTTTCTTTTCAGGTAGATGGGCCTACACCCGGGGGGGGGGGGGGTATGGAGCTTATAAGTGGCATATATTTTGAATACATGAATTGCCCTTTAGTCCACTCAAAACCGAATGACGAATGCGGTCACCGAATCTGCATCAATTTGACATCGATCCCCAGAGTGGCTTAAGCCCCATAGTCACGAATCCCGGTTTAAAAATACCGTTGGTTGCATCTAAGCGTGTACACGAGAGGAAAAACGTGTTCTAATTGGGTGCAAACATGACGTCTTTTGGCGCCATACATTCGAAGTTTGGAGTAAGCGAATGTTGTCGACTTGATTTGTTTTCTCGCTCGACAAAATATTCTTTGCAAGAATTTTTAGACGTTAAGAATAATTTCCCGAGGCAAGTGTGCTGTTTCTGAGCGAAAACTATGCATGAACGTTGAGAAAAATGAAATGTGAGCGAAACGCGCTGATCAGTTTGGGGCGACAGTTTGCTTCAACGGCTTTCAAATATAATGTTTGGCGACAAAACCCCTCAGGTCTGCCACCCTGTTAGAAAATACATGTTTTTTTTGTCTCTTGTCCACGCTTAAATGCAACCGACGGTAATAAGCGGTTTCAAAAATGTCCGCATTCGTGTGGACGGGGCCTAAAAATAGGGTTTCCGCAGCTGCACATCTATAATTTTTTGGGAGGCGCAAAACATTATTATCTGAAAGGAAGCACCTCTCTCTAAAACTGTTAGTGACGAAGAAAACGGTTGCTTTTAAAATTTGGTACAAAAGTGATTCTTAAATTGTGAGGTGAATTAGACACTCTAAGGGATGTTACGTCTCTGTTTTCGGACCTGTACTCTGGTAAATATTGCTGAGTCCCCAGGCTTTTTTCATACTGGAAACAAGGATGCTACTACTTGCTTATCTTTGAGGTTGCCCTGCTCAAAAGAAAATTAAAACTAGTTTCGCCTCCTTTCTTAGATAAAACATTTTCGTAATTAATATTTAATATACTAAACTGAAATGTACTTTTAGAGCCTAACTGCCGCTGGACGACTAACCAGAGAGAATGCATTGTCGCATGCATAATAAGCGGAAATATTATCGGGGTTATTTGATAGCCAGGTGTTTTGAAATGAGTTTTAATGTATGATTTTTCTTTCTCCTTTAGTGGAGGGATATGTTTAATGCCATTTAAAATATAAAAGAAGTCAAAGAGGACCGACTTAAACGAAGACCGCAACCGCAACGCAAACGAAAAGGCAATTTACTTTGAAGGTACGTAGGCCTTATAAAACGAGCGCTACGAAAGAAACTGAAAGAAAAGCCTGATTCTTATAATTGCTTTAAGGCATGACGTTCTTGACAAAGTCTTAATCCGGTTTGAACTTGTAACTAGTCCAGTTTCCATGCTGCCTCGACTCATTTTATCTTATTTGTTATCCATGTCGTAGTAGTATGCACTAATCCGTGATCAAAGCTGCTATAAATGCATTATTTCACAAATACAAGATAGACATTATTTGAGAAGCCTCGGCTTTCATTATTGACAATTCTGCCTTGTTGGCAACTGCATACACGCGAAGATCTTCGCTCGAACTAGCTTGGCTACTGTACTGTAAAAAAAATTCAGAATTGGGTTAATAACATTTTTATTCCTTGCCAAAAACGAAAACCGAATGAAAATAGCGGATACAAACTCATGTTACTTCACGATTTAACGAAGACCTGTCTAATTTTCAAATTTAAAATGGTAAGAAGTGATATTTAATCCAAGAATTATGGATACATTGAGGTGAGCAATGTACATAATTGATTTCACTACCCGTCGGATTGCGTTTAAAAGCCATTTGAATCTATATCGCTAATTGTTTTTGTTAAAATATTCTTTATGTCTTCTCTTTGGGTTGGTTTTTACTCCATTTACTGCCGAGCCGAAATCGAGACAGGGAGCAGCTTTGACGTAATGAAAATCCATCAACAGAGTAAAAGAAGTAATCTTAAACCGACAAATAAATACGTCGGGAGAAAGGCCAGCGTAATTGATTTCCACAGGTCATATCTTTATTAATAGGATCCTATTGCCCAAAGCTTTGTCACAGTTTTGTTAAGTTTTCTTGGCGGTGACTGTGTTTTTTTTTGTTTTTTTTTTCTGTTTTAAACCGATTTTCTCTGCAATTTAGACTTCCCAATAAACCCACAAAAAGTTCAAAAAGTACAACAAGTAAGGATTTGTTTTGCATTTGCTAAGTTTGCGATGTAATTTTTCACCGTATCATCAGTGAGTGTACCATGCTATAGGGACCTCGCACGGATCGAAATTTGCATTTACCTGAAACTCGTAGGCCTACGGGTCCTAAAAATGAACCGGTGTTCGCAAGGGAGTTGTGTTTCAAGGTAAGGAATCTGCGAGCGTCTAAACGACGGACTCATTACAACTCAGTTATTCTCTTTAGGGAGCTGTTTTCTGATCATTTCCTATTCGTAAGGATTTAACTCTTCTATTATAACTCCAACCGAATGTGAGTCTGAATCTGCATTTAAAAAGGAAAGAAAAGAAAAACCGGGAAAAAAGTGGGAAAGTTTTAACGTTCCGCCAAAATAAGTACGTCCTGTTAAATAGAATAATTTTTGCCATATGCCAAGAGAGCTTGATTGTTTGCCACACTTTATGACTGTTTTAACCTACATTTGAATTACATGTATCAGTCTTGAATAGTCCTTAAACTCATTTCATAATTCATGTTGCTGTTAACCAGTCGTTCCTTTTTCGTCTTCCAACAAGAGTTTGACTGATATGTTCTTCGTATTATTTATATCAAACACTCTTGTGCCTCCATATAATCTCGCTTTTGCAGGTGCATGCAAAAAGAGCTATGAACATATGGTGTCTGATAATGCACCCCTTTTTTATGCCGGTCTAATTGTCTATTTGCAAATTTAAAAAGTCTATTACGGTTTAAAACACTATTAGAGGAGAGGTTTTTTTCCTTAATTAATTTTGGAAACGGAATCCTACTTTGTACATGTCAAACTTCGTCGAAACATTTGGCCTTAACTTCGATTGACAGTTCGCCAGGTCGAACTTAAAACCGTTAAGGTTGCCTTGTTACGGGTTACCGGTCGGATAGCTGTCGGACTGGTGACGTCCTTAAAACCAAAAGCTTAGAAACTGAAACCGAAACTTTCACACTCCCCAGTCGTGTGGTTTTCAGAATAAGGTAGCAGATGCTATAAAGGGCCTTCTCTTAAATTAATCTCTCAACATTGACCAAACCAAACTCCTTTCCTTTGCCATCAACGGCTTTACAAGTTTTACCGCCATCATGCTGTAGAGGTCCGTTCTTAACAGCAACTCTCTTGAGAAGTTCTTTTATTCAGTAACACAGGCAAACGAAGCGGTGGCGACGAAAATTATATGTCCTGTTTTTCACTAGACCAAAATGTGAAAATACATGAACAAATATTTTTTGTTTGTTGTTTCGCGAAGAGGATACAACACTAAAACATTAATTTTATGCTGAAAATACATAATAGATTTCATAAATAACCGTGTGCATGGCTGCAAAGTAAAACCCGAAAATGAAAAACGGTGAATCATAGAGTCTACATTTAGCTGCTGTTAAGCTTTGGAAAAAGTTGAAGAGGCTGGTAAATAACAACTTTGCACTGGAAGATGAAAAAACTAATATCCGGACTCTTGTCTCAGTCCCAACAAAGCCAAAAAATTTTCGTGTCTCTTATTCTCATTTCGTTCGAATTCTTTTCCGTGCCCTACGCCGATAAATAAGACTGTGGTTCGTTGATCGTTGATCCACTTCTGCTATGCGTCATTTTACAGTGCAGAAAACCTCATAGAGTCTTCATTTATTTTTTTCTTACAATTTAACTGAATATTCATGCCTGTTGATTATACACGAGGCTGAAAAACCTGAAACAATACTAAATTGCCCTAACCATGATATCAAATATGCAGAAAAGAGCAAACAACGTCAGGTCAAATGAATATTTTAAGTTTTAGCGAAGTTTACGCTGGATTTAACGAATTGTATGAGATGTATGTTTAAAAATTGACTTACGTTTAAATCAAAACAGGACTGGTCATCAGTGGAATAAAGACTGGCCAGTAAAACTTTTCAGTCAGGAAGCCTTGGACTGGACCTGTGTGAATCGAACTGCGTACTGAACGAGAAATAAAAGTGAACAGGAGAAGCTCTCTACAATGACAGGAGCAATGACAGTCTTTAAAGTTGCCATGAACAGCTTTACAAGTTATTCCGCCATCATGTTAAACGTCGTTGCAATAATCGCATTGAGAAAAACTCCATCATTTCCGAAGCCTTTAAAAATACTACTTCTAAGTATCAGTGCCTCAGATCTTTGTGTTGGTTTGCTAGTACAGCCATTGTACGTGGCACTTGCTATGATTGATGAACGCAATCCGATTTTCGAACCATTGGCAAGAGTGAATACTATTTCAGGCACAATTTTTTGTACTGCTACGCTGTTGGGTATTTGTGCTGTATCAGTAGACAGATTCCTAGCAATTCATCTTCATCTTCGATACCAGGAAATCGTTACTCACAGACGCGTTGAGGCTGTGGTTATCTCAATTTGGGTTTTGAGTGCAGTTCTTTCGCTCCCGCGAACAAGAACACCTTCTGAGAAGACCGATAGGATAATCCTCGCCATCATGGTTTTTATTACCCTTGGTTGTCTTGTCGCAATAGCAATAATTTATGTTAAACTTTATGTAGTTTTGAAACACCATATTATGCAAGTTCAAGCCCTTAACATAAATCTAGATTCTCAGACCACTGTGGCAATTGAAGATACTGCTAGACAGAAAAAATGTACAGTCGCCATTTTCTACTTATATCTCACGCTTTTGATTTGCTACTTGCCAAACGCATGTGTTGCTTTAATGATTGTAGTAGATGCCTCTTTTCCCTTCGAAATTATCCATTTCTCGGACACTTTGGTATATCTCAACTCATCCCTCGATCCTTTGATTTACTGTTGGAAGATGCGGCAAGTACGACTCGCTGCCATGAACATACTACGAAACATACATTTTAGATGTTAGATTATGAGAAGACCTCAACAAGATATGTTATTCTTGCCCCTGTTTTAAACTAGAAACGTTTTATATTATTAAATCCTCATTAGATCAGCCGCCAGAAACATGTAAAACTTTCACAACAGTAGTAGATGATCGATTGATTCAGAACAGGCAATCCTAATACATTGGCCGGCCTATTCAATGTAGTTTTACAATGTTTTCTCCCAAAATTGCCAAACCTTAAATGTTAACGGCAACTGTAAAATACTTCCGTCACTTCCTAAAATTTTGACAACTGCATTGCACAAGTGGTACCGGTGATACTATAAGGCAATGTCTTATAACCGGCATTTTAATGGGCCTACTTTCCTAAACCTCCTAAGCACCGTGATGCTCACCTTGACGGTCGTTCTTGCAAAAGGTTATTTGAATTCTTAACGAGCCGGGGGCGTGTAGTTTAAAAGAAACTGTCTGTGAGGGGTGGAGGAGGAAAAATAAAGAGGGATGCAGCTAATAGCTAACCCTGTTTAATGTTGTTGGTGGTAATGGTGGTTTTTTCTCAGTATTTCCTGTTTAATTTATTTATTTTTTATTTGTGTTTTTTTGTTTGATTTAGACGGGCTACGATGATATTGTTCAAACATGTTATGATCATGAACCCTTGGGGACTGAAACTTTAAAAAAGAAAGAACAATTAGATAAGCAAAATCGCCAAAATCGATTATCCATATCCTTTCGAAGAAGTGAATCTAAGTGAGACTGCTCATAAAAAGTATGCGGCTTATTAACATGAAAGGACTGACGAAGCGTAGCTCAAAAGATGGCAAGAAATGTTTTTTACGTCTGTGGCCGAAGTTCTGTTAAGGTTAAATATTTCACTTACATTCTTCTCCACGCCAGAAATTAGAAGAAAAAATCTAAATAATTACAAAAAGTAATCTGTCAACTAATTTCTAATAATACAGGTAAAAGTGCATGTTAAGTGGATGCTAGCGAGTGCAACTTAACTTGTATGGCTATGAGTTAACGGAAGATGACAGCGCAGTAGCACTCGAGTGAAATTAAGTAATAAATTTGTTTCTCTCAAAAGCTTTTGGGTCAGTTATTTAAGAGTGGTTGACAGAGAAAACCGGGCAAAATCGTAAAAATGTCAACGGAAGGGGGTCAACAGAATAAGTTCATACTAACATCATAGATACGTCTGGTAGAGTAATGGACAAATATGCCAAACATAGGTTCTTCACTGCTCTTGTTTTACAGACACGGCATCACTTTATTTGAGCCCCTCGGACGCCATTTTTATAAGCAAATTTTCACCATCTTCTGAAACTCACAGAATCCTCAAAATTTAACGAGCGAAGTTTATTTTTTGCATGCGATACAGCACATCACAGAACTACCTTCTAAAACCATAAGATTTTTTAAGTAGCCACGGACAAGATCAACATTTTCTTATTTTATCTGACCTGAACTCAGTGTCTGCAAACGAGCAAAAAATCAGGAATTTTTGAATTGATCTACAGCGCACAACAAAAACCGCAGAACAACTCTGACAGCCAAATTGCAGTCTACTATCATCCATGTAACCAAAGCCCTAATAATCATTTTGGGCCATTGAAACAGGAAGAAATTAGAAAACTCACATTTGTTATAGTTTGCAAGCTTTTTCTTGCAAAAAGCTCGAAATACTGCCTAGGTTACATTTTGAAAGGGCAGAAAGCTGACCGAAAGGATTAAACTAGAAAATAAAAAAGCGACGCCATCTTGAAAATTCAGCACTCAGGAGGGACTGGCATTAATAGCTGCCATGATGAATTACCAAATAGATAAAAAACAAAAACAAACAAACCGGCTTATCAGCTACCTACTACAGTCCTATGTCTTCTTCAACTACTACTTTTAGTTAAGTTTAGCTTGTTTTGTGTTGTCGCTTTTTTTTTTTGGCGGAGTGATGGGGTGTGGTGAACAAGTGACCTATTGGAATTACTTTATTCAGTCTTCATTTGCTCTTCATTCACTTCATTTTGAGTTATCCCGGATAAGTCAACGTTTCTTCGGACTCTTTATTGTATCATCTATTATTGCGTCAGTCTTCAATCACCGTCCATGTCCGAAGGTCCACTCATCTCCTGATCATGATTTCATGATGAACTTTTCATAATCGGGAAGGCTTCGCCCGAAGGGTACCTCTTTCAAACATCAGGTGTAACAAAGGGTAATAAAATCACAAGTTCAAGTATGCGAAAGGAGAGGAAAATCTTTCATTAAGTATTTTAGAGGGCCTTTTATTAAAATGCTTCAAAGAAACACGCCTTATTGCAATATCATTTACATGTTAATTCAGTTAAAGGTTACACGAATATTACCGGAAGACCTTCTTTCTTACCGATTTATTCTCACGAAGCAGATATATGAAAAAGGTACAACTTTTCAATGGAAGATACACGAAAGGGGTACCTTTTGTCAAAAATAGTACATATAAGGGTAAGGGACTGGACCTCGGGGCGAAGCCTCTCCGAACAAAGCTTTATTGAGTATCTTCCCACCATTTCCCTTTCTTCCTAGGGCTTTCCACAAGTTGCTCGGCAACTTTTGGCAACTTCCAGTATTTCGAGCAACTTTTTGCGTTTCAAGCAACTTTTTGCATAACTTCTGAACAATTTCTCTTACTAGTTTTCTTCCAATTCTGAGATATCTGAGCAGCTTTTAGTGCTTAAATTGGCCTTGCTTCCATATTGCACAGTGTTTTAGTAGACAATTTGCGAAAGATGCAGCCGGGCTGCTAGGTCAGAGGCTTTTTTGATCAAAATTCAAAATGGCGGACGTCGATTCACACTTGACTCACACGAGTGTCTGAGGTGAAGGTCATTCAACAATTTCATAGTTCAATGGCTCCTACGCACGAATCATCACGTGAGTTAGTTCGTCAAAGTGTGGCAAAACGTAAGCAAGCGCCTCAAAGCGAGGCAAATGTCTGTCGACGACGACGACAAATGAAACCTTGAAAAAACCTCCCTTATTAATCAACCAACACAAATTAGGGGTTGCGTTCTCGTACCTCGAACGCAATAAATCGGGGTAGTAGACTGATGGGGTTGACTTCATCGAAATATATATCATAGCCATTAAATGTGCTATTTTTAGCACATTTTGTGCCGTCTCGTGTGACCCGTACGCGCATTTTTTGCAACAGAACCGTGGAAAGGATTAACAAACGAAATGGCGTTGGAAATTACCTCCGTAAGAGATGAATAAATTCCATTTCTGTCATCATTGCCTCCTCTGAATTTAAGGCAAGACCTTGACAATTACTCTAAATGAGAGGACTGTCTACGTGATTCTGCTTATGTTAAACACCATAGTGACAGTGTTTTTGACGAATCCAGTGACGAAGAGATGTAGGAGATGTCAATTCTTTTACGGCTATACCAGTAAACAAAAGAAACCCAGTGGCTGTAAACTTCCACGTGCACGACTTCTATCAATGATCAATATGATAGACAAGGTACCAACTCGAGTTAACACTCAGACCCCTTTTACAAAATATTTTGAACGGCCAAAAACGTGCACGGATCAGCCTTTTCTTTACGTGTGACCCGCGGAACCGTGAAGTTTTTAACCTGCAAACAGTAGCCCAATCTGTGAGAGAATTTGCACGTTCCATCTAAACGGGTTGCACAGGTAAAAAATTCGTCCGGACCCGTGGCGATTATCTTGTGTGGACCGTGCAAAGAGCATTCTGAAAAAGAAGTGAGCAGGAAAAACAATGAGGGGAAGGGGTACGGAGTGAGAGCCGTAGGAACTCCTAAAATGATACTTTTTCAATAAAAGCTTCTTCCAGATCCTTCCGGTATACCAGATTCTGGTAAACCTTATGAATGGTTTATTTTGACAGCTCTTGTCAACATTCGAAGGTCTATTACCTTATGGAAATGCGAAGTGACAGCGATGAGATCATCAGTTAGAAGTCTTACTTTCAAAAAAGTACTTCGTCCGCTGGCTCTCTTGGCCGCTTTGCGGCCTAAAATGCCCGCTCCGCACGTTGATTCAACTGTTTATTTTAACAACAGTTGGTAATAAAAATTATTGCAAATTTTACAGCAAGCAATATCCACGGCCCACAGTTAACCCGCACGCTTATAAACTCGCGAGGTTGATATATAGCAAGTATGAGAGGGAAGTTAAGTGATTCATAAAGAGACAAAATAAATCTTTACTATTATCTACATTCACGGGACACCTCGAAATGAGGAGAGAATGAAGCAATGCCATTGGTAATTACTGGAGTTCACAGGCTCCTGGTAATAGTTCGTAATAGCCCACGTTCGATAAAGAAAAACTCTAACGTGAATCCGAGGCTTTCTGGTTACATTTCTATATTAGGTTTGGTTTTCTATCTGCTCAAGTCTGTTTTGGGAATTGCGAGAAAATGGAGTCGTGAAAAATTTGCAATTTTTGTCCGTAACGCAGCTACTAGTGCCATTCCCTCCTGAGTGCTGAATTTTCAAGATGGCGTCGCTTTTTTATTTTCTAGTTTCATCCTATCGTTCAGCACTTTTTGCCCTTTCAAAATGTAACCTAGGCAGTATTTCGAGCTTTTTCATATGTCCTCCAGCTGCTGAACATACTTTACAGCGAAATATGAAAGAAAATTCGCGAAGAGGACTTAAACCAAACACGAAGGGGGGATCGGCCTGTTTGCAAGAAAAAGCTTGGAAACTATAACAAATGTGAGTTTTCTAATTTCTTCCTGTTTCAATGGCCCAAAATGATTATTAGTGTTTTGGTTACATGGATGATAGTAGACTGCAATTTGGCTGTCAGAGTTGTTATGTCGTTTTAGTTGTGCAATGTAGATCAATTCAAAAATCGGTCAGTGTAAAACGTAGACTGCAGACTGCGGACCAGGGGTAAAATGCAGACTGCAGACTAAGAGTACAACGCAGGCCGGGGTAAAATGCATACCGAGCATAAACCGTATTCGTGGAAGGGTTTAAGGGCAAAAAAAATCCCGCAAATACATG